AACTGCTAGGTTGGCAGGAGCAGGGACCGAGCAACGGGAGCTCACCCCATCACAGGGATTCGAACCGCCTACCTTTTGATCGGCAAGTCCTAGGCTCTGTGGTTTAACCCACAGTGCCTTACACTGTGTTTAAAACCAAAATCGCATTTGGATAGAAACTGTTTCTCAGGCGGCTAGTCCTAGTCTTTTAAGCTGTAAACCAGCACATTTTTGGTTTAATGTTATCATTACATTTTTTATTTTTTAAGGCATTCTGGTCTACGGCTGCTCCTTTCCAGGGTCTAAAGCACTGTTTGGTCTCTGATAAGTTTGCTAGACTGGTTTAATGCCATCTTCCGCTTGCAAGGGCCACTCCAAATAAAAGACAACTAAAGGAAAGAGGGTTCTGAATTAAATTAAACAAAAAGGTACAAGTAGATGCTTCACCAAACCAAGCGAATTTGCACTCTCTCTCAATTTTGGCCCAGCGGCACAACGGCGTTCGCTGCGCCAATCTGCCCTGCGGACAACCGCCGGCGTCTTCCGTCAGGCAAGTACCTTCTCCATCCCCGTCAGGAGTCTCTGCAGCTCCTCCAGCTTCAAATCCTTCTCTTCCAAGTCCAGTTCCGCCCTTCGGAGAGCTGCTCCCGAATGTTCGGCTTCCCTCCGATAATGGGAAATGGACGTCTGCAAGAAGAGGGGAGAGGGGGCAGTTTTGCATGCATGTCGACCGTTTCACACAAACACGGCTAGCGAAATTGCACTGTTCACCCCAAAAGCCTGGCAACCATCATCATACCATCATCAACCCTAAACGGCCTCGGTCCTGTATACCTGAAGGAGCGTCTCCACTCCCATCGTCCAGCCCAGACACTGAGGTCCAGCGCCGAGGGCCTTCTGGAGGTTCCCTCACTGCGAGAAGTCAAGTTACAGGGAACCAGGCAGAGGGCCTTCTCGGTGGGGGCGCCTGCCCTGTGGAACGCCCTCCCACCAGATGTGAAGGAAATAAGCAGCTATCTTATCTTTAAAAGACATCTGAAGGCAGCCCTGTTTAGGGAAGTTTTTAATATTTAATGCTGTACTGTTTTTAACACTTGATTGGGAGCTGCCCAGAATGGCTAGGGAAACTCAGCCTGATGGGCGGGGTATAAATAATGAATTTATTATTATTATTATTATTATTATTATTATTATTATTATTATTATTATTATTATGTGGAGGCCATGACAAAGGACCCCTTCCCTGGCCCACAGCTCAAGCATCTCATGCAACTGGCAGCGCAGCCTCAGAGAGGGTGGTCCTTGCAACCACGGTCGGTCGAGGATGCAAAGCCACGGGCCTCCCAGGTGTTCGATGTTGGGCCACATCAATGGTTCTCAAAGTGGACAGTACCACTCCTGAGGGACCTAGCAGGGTTTGAGGAAGGGTGATGTGTGTCTCTGTTGTGTGGGATGCGGGGGAAACCATGAAGCCAGCCAATGCTCTGCATAAACGTAAAGGGGACCCCCGACCATTAGGTCCAGTCATGGCCGACTCTGGGGTTGCGGCGCTCATCTCGCTTTGTTGGCCGAGGGAGCCGGTGTACAGCTTCCGGGTCATGTGGCCAGCATGACTGAGCCGCTTCTGGCGAACCAGAGCAGCGCACGGAAACGCCGTTTACCTTCCCGCCGGAGCGGTACCTATTTATCTACTTGCACTGGTGTGCTTTCAAACTGCTAGGTTGGCAGGACGGGAGCTCACCCCCTCACAGGGATTCAAACCGCCGACCTTCTGATCAGAAAGCCCAAGGCTCAGTGGTTTAGACCACAGCACCACCCACGTCCCTAATAGCTCCATCCTTATTTCAGACAGTGTGATATATCAGTACAGTCGTACCTTGGAAGCTGAACGGAATCCGTTCCGGAAGGCCATTCGACTTCCAAAACGTTTGAAAATTCTGATTGGCTGCAGGAAGCCCCGTCAGCGGTTCAGGTTCCAAAAGAACGTTTGAAAACCAGAACACTCGCTTCCAGGTTTCAATTGTCCGGGAGCCGAAACGTCCGAGTTCCAGGGCGTCCGGGATCCAAGGCACGACTCTACAGTCATACCTCGGGTTAAAGTTGCTTCAGGTTGAGCGTTTTCGGGTTGCGCTCTGCAGTGACCCGGAAATAACAGAACACGTTACTTCCGGGTTTCGCCGCTCACGCATGCGCTCAAAATGACGTCAGACACATGTGCAGAAGCGGCAAATTGCGACCCGCGCAGATGCGTGTCGCGTTCTCTTCAGAATGCGAACGGGGCTCCGGAACAGATCCCATTCGCATCCAGAGGTACCACTGTATATCGCAATGTTTAGCTGGCGATATATTGCAACGCTGAAAGCCAGCCCTACACAGGTGTGCTGGAGGTGTAAAGATGGTCACACTTTGGAAAGCCACTATCCCTGGATCAAGTTTGTCAGTTTTGTTGCATCAGTCGAGCTAAACTGTCCAAACTGGATTTTGAAGAATATGCAATTGATTGCGACCGCTTTGAATGTTATTGTGTTACGATCTTCCTGAGCGGGTCGCTCAAACGGCAGTTTTGAATCATGATTTTTGTAGGGTAAGGTTGCGGGGCCCTGGGGATGAGCTTATGGAACCAAGGGAGCGGTGACCCCCATAAAAGTTTGGGAACCCCTGGCCTGATCCAGCGGGCCTTTCTTGTGTTCTGACCTCATAAGCGGCTCTGTCTGACTGGTGGCGCTTCTCAGCCTCCTGAAGTTTCGTGAAGAGCTTCTTGGTGGTCTCCCGCATTATCGAGATGTCTTCTCCGGGGTACGTCGGTTCATCCTGGAGAGAGGTAAGGTTTTTAAGCAAGGGGGACCTTTTTCGGCCGGAGGGCCACCTTCCCATTTGGGGGCAGCCTCCCGAGGGCCGCACACCAGCAGTGGGCGGGGCCAGAAACAAGACTGGGCGGAGCAATGGGAATGCCTTGTTTTTTATGATAGGTTAGTTTCCTACTTCGCGCTCTCAACAGATTGAGGTTGAATCCTGACAAGACAGAAGTACTGTTTTTGGGGGATAGGGGGCGGGCGGGTGTGGGGGACTCCCTGGTCCTGAATGGGGTAACTGAGCCCATGAAGGACCAGGTGTGCAGACTGGGAGTCATTCTGGACTCACAGCTGTCCATGGAGGCGCAGGTCAGTTCTGTGTCCAGGGCGGCTGTCTACCAGCTCCATCTGGTACGCAGGATGAGACCCTCCTGCCCGTGGACTCTCTTTCCAGAGTGGTGCATGTTCTGGTTATCTCTCGCTTGGACTACTGCAAAGTACTCTACGTGGGGCTACCTTTGAAGGTGACCCGGAAACTGCAACTAATCCAGAATGCGGCAGCTAGACTGGGGACTGGGAGCGGCCGCCAAGACCACACAACACCGATCTTGAAAGATCTGCATTTGCTCCCAGTACGTTTCCGAGCCCAATTCAAAGTGTTGGTGCTGACCTTTAAAGCCCTAAACGGCCTCAGCCCAGTATACCGGAAGGAGCGTCTCCACCCCCATCGTTCTGCCCGGACACTGAGGTCCAGCTCCGAGGGCCTTCTGGCGGTTCCCTCATTGCGAGAAGTGAAGTTACAGGGAACCAGGCAGAGGGCCTTCTCAGTGGTGGTACCCGCCCTGTGGAACGCCTTCCCACCAGATGTGAAGGAAATAAGCAGCTATCCTATCTTTAAAAGACATCTGAAGGCAGCCCTGTTTGGGGAAGCTTTTAATATTTAATGCTGTATTGTTTTTAACACTCGATTGGGAGCCGCCCAGAGTGGCTGGGCAAAGACCAGACACAGAGGACTGGAGGGGCACATTTAGAGCCCCCCCAGGCCTGAGATCTCCCCACCCCTGAACTGCCAACGATGGACTCCCATCTCCCCACTTGGTGCTGACATCCAGGGTGGTGCAATGGTTAGAGTGCCGGATTAGGCTTCAAATCCCCACTGGGGTGACCTGGGCCAGCCAGCATCTCTGAGCCTAACCTACTCACAGGGTTGTTGTGAGGGTGGGGGGGGGGTGAAGAGAAAGGGAGAGGTGCATAGGCCACCTTGAGATCCTTGGCGAAATGGGGGGGTATAAATGCAATAATAAATAACGTGCAAATGAGTCACAAGCAAGCTGATTCACCTTGCTCAAGGCATTAATTAATTGCATTAACATCTCTCCCCCCCCCCAAGGCAAGGGACAGGGCTTTCACTTCCTTGGCTTCTCCTTGCAAGGTTTGGCCCCCCAAAAATCACCCAGCGGCAGAGTGAGGATTCCCTACCCCACTGGCCTGAGGCTCTAACCATTGCACCACACTGCCTCCCCTCTCCCCTAACTTCAGCTCTAGGTCAGGGCGAGTGAACAAGCCGGCCCTTTTGTGACCAGCCCAGGTTCTCCCCAACTTCAGTTCCTTCCAGGCATGGAGGCCACCTGTGAACGCCAACCGTCCCCCCACCACCACCACGGCCCCGGACTCTCGTGCACGGACCTGGCATAGTGACATGCTGCGAAATGAGGTAGTTCTGTGAGGGCGGATCCCGTTCGGCTTGTCCAGCGTTTTCTGTGTTTGAAGACATACACACAAATAAAGTAAAATAAAATGGGGAAAGGGACCAGAACACCACCTCTTTTCGTGACAGAACTCCACACAGAGAGGTCTCTCACACCCTTTTAATCATGCAGATAAAGAAACCATATTTATCGCCAGGCTTTTAGCAGCTGATGGGTAACGCCATTTTTAGGACAGTTTTTAAAAGTATATTATTTATGCAATTTATCGCAATTATTTTGATGCTATTTTGTTTTCCAAATTGCCCTGTGACCATTTTTGGTGAAGGGCAGTATAGCAATCTCTTCATTATTTTATTAATAAACGGTTATAATTGACATCAGCGATGTACGGTTAATATGCAACTGAGTAACAGAAGCTCTGTGTGTGAGTGTTTGAACTTGAACGATGGTTCCTGAGGTAAAGGAGCAAGAGTGCCTCCATTTTGGGGAGCCGTCTGGAAACAAAACTCAACCTTTTGGAACTGCAGCAATTTGGACCCCTCTTAACGTTTTGGAACCAAATTTGGCAAGGCGGTCCTTGGGACTGAGGAGCAGGGTTTTCTCCAGGCCCGGATACTGTTGGGCGCCATTTTGAATCAAGATGGCGGACCCAACATTTCAAAGCTACAGGGTCCATGGGTTCATGAAGATACCAACAAAAGGAAAGTTCAGTGATATTCACAATACCGTAATCAAAAAGCCGCTGTTTGCCCTGGATGGGGCCCTTTAGGCTAAGCAAATCAGTCTCTTAAGCTTAAGCCAAAGACGACTGAATTCTCTATAACAGTGTTTCCCAACCGGTGTTCCGCGGCACACTACTGTGCCGTGAGACATTGGCTGGTGTGCCGTGGGAAGGAGGCGGGCGAGTCGGGCGGTGAGAGGCGGCGGCGGCAAGGATCTGCGTCGAGCCGGGGGCGGCTCCGCAGTGGTGGTGCCGAGCGGCGGGGCAGCGCGTGCAAAAGGGAGGAGCGCGAGACAGCGGAGGAGGAGGAGGCCGGCATGTCCGGGCAGCAGCAGCAGCAACTCCCGGCGACGGCTCCTCAAGCCCCGCCGCCGCCCCCTCCTCCGCCCGCTATCGCCGCCACCACAACAGCTGCCGCCGCCCCAGTTGCCGCCGTCCCTCAGTCCCTCGCTCTGCTGCCTCCTCCCACCCCCAAAGCTTGGAGGTTCCCCGGCAAGGGGGAGGGAAAAAACTTTCACTTTCGTGCGTCCCTCCCGGCGTGACGCTGCGCGCTGACGTCACGGGGCGGGGCTTTAATGGTGGTGTGCCGCGAGATTTTTTTTCAGTAAACAGGTGTGCCGTTGCCCAAAAAAGTTTGGGAAACACTGCTCTATAAGACTGAATCTCAATATACAATATCAAGACTTGGAGATTAGACCACTGAAGAAGCCCGGAAAACTACCTTGGGAGTGGGCTACCTGCAAGCCCCAGTTAAAGGGCCCCTTGGGGGCGAACAGCCATCTTTTGATTCCTTGGACTGCCAGGGCGAAACAGGCGCAAAACGCCAGCACCCTGTCGTCTACAACTTTATTGTCTACAACTTCATTAACATCTGCCTACAACTCTACTAGCATCTCTCGGTATTATGAATATCACCGAACTTACCTTTTGTTGGTATCTTCGTGAACTTATCTAATAGACTGAGTGAAGCATTTGAAAAAAATCTATTGAAACCAGACATTATAAGTTCATTTTAGGCTGGGTAGTTCGCAAGTCTTTGTGGCTTTGTTTAATGCTTTGTATTTTTCTCAGGTGGTTGATAAAGTATGTATAATTATTGTTTGTGCATGTTACCGTATTTTTCGCTCTCTAAGACGCACCAGACCATAAGATGCACCTAGTTTTTGGAAGAGGAAAACAAGGGGGGGGGGAATTCTGAATCCCAGAAGCCAGGACAGCCAGTGGGATCGCAGCGCAGCGATCCCGCTTGCTGTCCTGGCTTATGGGATAGCCGTGCGCAGCCTCTCTTGGGCACGGGGAGTCATCACCCCCCTGCCCGAGAGAGGCTGTATGCAGCTAAGCCTCCCCCAAGAGCAGCGCTCCCCTTAAAGAACAGGTCCATAGCTGTCAACCGTCCCTTATTTGGCGGGAAACTCCCTTATCCCAGCGCTGTGTCCCACTGCTGTCCCTTATTGATGATGTCCCTTAAATTTCCCGGGTTTCAAAGGAAGCAGCTCCTCTCCCTCCATCCCTGCCGGCCAGGGAGGAGGGAGGCTCCAACTGTGTTGCTTGGCTGCGTTGCTCACCCAATAAGGAGTCTGAGAACGACTGGGGGGTGGAGCTTGCATGCCTTGTGCCAATCAAATTGGCCGCGTTGTCTGGGGACTCGCCTTTGCTCAGCGCTTCCCAGCGGAGAGGGGACGGTGGTTTTCCTTGCTGCGTCCCCTTTGCCGGGTTGCTGCGCTGTGGGAACCACCGCTTGAGGCTTCGTTTGACTGCTGGCTGGGCTTTCTCCCTTTGGCTCGGAGGGGCTCAGAAATCAAACATACCTGTGTTCGGAAAATCCCTTATTTTGGCTGCTGATCCCTTATTTTCGAGGCTGCTGGTCCCTTATTTACAAATCTGTAAGTTGACAGCTATGAGCGCGCGGAGTGTGTGCGCGGCTCTTGGGGGCTTTTCCCTGAGGAGGGAGATGGGTAGCCCTTCTCCCTCCTCGGGAAAAAGCCCTCAAGAGCCACACACACGCTCCACGCACTCTTTAAAGGGAGCGCTGAGCAGAGCCTCCCGCCTGCATTCGCTCCATAAGATGCACACACACATTTCCCCTTACTTTTTAGGAGGGGAAAAGTGCGTCTTACAGAGCAAAAAAAACGGTAATCGCCATTGTGTTGCATGAGTCGCAATACTTCTATCAGCAACACAGGTTGCATTTTTCTAGCAGGGTCCATGGGGGCTGCTGCTTCCTGAGTGACGCCAGGCACTTATGCTCTTCCCCCCGACACACAAACACACACAGACCCCGGTCACAACCTCTCAGCTTGGCCGACCTCACAGGGTTGTTGTGAGATAAATTTGGGGAATTATTTTTTTTGGCAGGGGGGAGGAACACCCCATACATCGCCCTGGAATTCCTGGAAGGAAAGGCGGGATATAAACAGAGCCAAACCCTCACTCTGACCCCCCTCTGGCTCAGCCTAACCTCTTCATCTCAGGCAGATGAAGATGATGTAATTTATGGAGCTGGCTGATCTCACCGGGAGAATCCGTGACCAGAGAGGACTACCAAGAAGACCGGAAGAAATTTAAAGACTATTTGAACAAATATTCTAATATTAAAGAAATGTAACCACTTGAAAGAACCAACCAGGCCTAGGATTAAATTAGACTTAAATATATAAATAAGAAAATGTACTATAAGAAAGGTAAAGAAATTGGAATACGACTGTAATATTGCTTTATGAAATAATGATATTGGAAACTGCTACATTCAAATTAAGAGGAAATTCAGATGGAGGAGATTAGAGGAAGTCAACTAAAATGTTTATGAAAATGGATTTCAATTAATTAATTGAGTTTCTTTTTTTCCTGTTTACGTATTTTAAGTTTGTTATTCTTTTTTCTTCTTTTTCACTTCTCTATTGTGTTGTTGCATATTTTCTTTTTTGGTGTGTCTATTGAAAATTAATAAATATTATTGTCAAAAAAAAACAACCCTCTCCATCTCAGACTTTCTCATCTTTGAAGGAACCGAGCAAAGACCCATCGGGCTGCCTGTGGTTGCAGACCTCCCAAAACTCTTGGGAAACGCCGGAGACTTTGCCAAAGGAACCGCCAACACCTTCAGAGCGGGGAGAGGCCCTCGCTGCAAGGTGTGGCAGACAGGCAGACAAAACACAGAAGGCAACTCCGGACAGATCCTTTCCAGCTTGCAAAGCAATTAGGGCCTCGGATCCGGCAGAGCTTCTAAGGCGGGCGTGAGTCAGCGAGCCTCTTGATGCAAAAGGGGGGGAGGGAAGGAGAGAGAAAACACCCTTTGGTGCCAGTTAGGCGGAGCGGATTTCTATAGCCAAGCTCCAACGCAAGGCGTTCCTCTGCAAAAAGGTTTGCCTTTTGCAACTTGTCCTAAGGGCCTTCCTTACTCCCCTTTGCAGAATGCATCAGCAAGAATGGGAGAATATTTTTTTCTGGGACAGAATCTGTGCATTGGTGGGAGAAAAACACACTGGGTAGCAACAGGTTTTTACCAAACTGCTGAAGAGACAAGCCTCCCTTTCCGGCTGCAACTGAAAAGTTGCTTGCCTCTTCAGCCGCTGCAGTTAACTTCAGAAATACTGTATTTTTCGCTCTATAAGACGCGCAAGACCATAAGACGCACCTAGTTTTTGGAGGAGGAAAACAAGAAAAAAAATATTCTGAATCTCAGAAGCCAGAACAACAGCGAAAGCAGCGATCCCTCTTGTTGTTCTGGCTTCTGGGATAGCTGCGCAGCCTGCATTCGCTCCATAAGACGCACACACATTTCCCCTTACTTTTTAGGAGGGGAAAAGTGAGTCTTATAGAGCAAAAAATTCGGTATTTATGTTATTTCTGCGCACGCACACACACACCCTTCAGTGCCCCATTGAGAGCCCGTGCCACCAGCTCCTTCCGTTTTGCAAAATTACCTCCCCGCTACTTGCCAGCACACATTATTTAAAAGGACGCTAATTACCGCTTGGAGATGACAGCCGTCACTTTTCAGTTGATGGAGGCTCTTTTCGTTCTGGGCCCTGTCCTCGGCTCGGGCTCGGAGGTAGACCTGAGTCACAGAGGAGAAACCACAACGCCCATCAAGTTGGGAAGGAAAGCTGCCCTGATAGGAAGGAGGCAAACCCGGCGCAAGATGGGACAGGCTTGAGGAACGGTTGAGGATCAGGGCTAGGGAGCAAGCTGGAGCCCTCCAGACGCGGCTGGACTCCAAGTCCCATCAAGCATGGCCACCAGGGATGAGGGGAGTCAGCAGAAAAAAGACAGTCACGGAACTGAGAATTGCACAAAAGAAATGAAATACTAGAAATCAACCAGAAATATTCTCTTGTAGAAATAAACTAAATAATAAAAATCAAAAAGTTTAAAAATCAGAAAAACCTTGCTTTACCTAGGATTATAACACTTCAGAATTTTGGGGAGTTCTACCCCTTTTTTTGAATTTTGGTCATTTAAGGTTTATGATTTTTCTATTTCCTTCTGAGGAAACTGAATAGTTCAGTGAAACGAGGTTTGTGCCTTTGGCCAGGGCACAGCCTGACTCCCTCCTTTGGCAATCTTCACAGAATTTTAGCCTAATGGTTGCCATCAATTTGAGTTGAATTAATTTTAATGAAATGATTTTAGAATGTTGTATTATTTTATTGTTGTTAGCCACCCTGAGCCCGGCTTCGGCTGCGGAGGGCGGGATATAAATAAAATTTATTATTATTTATCATCATCATCATCATCATCATCATCATCATTATCCCATTAAGGCTTTGTTCAATTTTCTAATTTTTTCCCTTAAACTTTTTGATTTTTATTATTTAGTTTATTTTTACCAGGGATGATGGGAGCTGGAGTCCAGCAACATCAGGAGGGACACAGCCTCCTCTGTAAGCTTCACCTACACAGCCTTGCTGCTGAGCTGCAATCCTTCCCCTAACAGCAAAGATTCTAGTCCTCATGTTTCGAAAAAGAAGTCAGAGCCACTGCACCCGGCTTCCCCTTGCAAAGCATCCTGGGAACTGCAGCTCTGTGAGTGGGCAAACTAGAGTTCCCAGGCACCCTTGAGGGGAAGCAAAGGAAGAACGGATTCAAAAACTTACAGAACAGGCGGAGAAACTGACCGGAAGAGTAATAAATCAAGTTAACAAACTTTTTATAAAAGAATGGAAATGGTTTATTGAATATTTGCTGATAAATTGTAAATGGATAACAACATTGGCAGGATTATTGCAATGACCCGCAGTTCTATAAGAGCATATATTTAAAGCAGATGAATAAATGAGCAAATTAAGTGAATTTGGATATGCAAAAGGTATTAAAAATAAATTTAAGGAACCGCGGAAAGAGGGGGAAGGAAGTCAAAGTTATGAAATGTTAAAAGGATTGTGAAATTAGTGAAATGTATAAACCTGAAAAGCATAAATAAAGTAAAATAGAGTCCCTGAGGAGAAGGCAGGTGCTTTAAATCTACGCCGTGACCCTTAAACAGGAACATGGAAAGCTGCCCTTCTACAGAGCCAGGCCACTGGGGTCTACATACCTCAGTGCTGCCAACACTGGTTGGCAGCTGCTCTCCAGGGTTTCAAGAAGAAACCAACCCCATCTGGAGATATGGGGGGCAGGATTGAACCTAGGACCTTCTGCATGCAAAGCAGGGACTCTCCCACAGAGCTACACACATTCCCCCTAAAAATGAAGCAAGGCTCCAGTTCTGGGCAAGAGGGCTGCTTTAAGCAGAGGTACCAGAAGCTGCCTTATACTGAAGCATCTGGGCACATAGCTCCATACTGCCTACACTGACTGGCAGCTGCAGGCAGGGCGTCTCTCCCAACCCTGCCTGGAGATGCTGGGTTTTTGCACCTGGGACCTTCTGGTTGCAAAAGAAGCTGCTCTGCCCCCCTGGACTACAAGACCCTCCCTGAAAAGCCGGTTCCTTCCTTCTCTTTCTCGCTGGCAAACAACACCCTGTCTGCTAAAAATAAAGCCGCGAAAGCCGAGCGCCGGCTGGTCCCAGCTCACCTTGATGATTTCCTCGTCGCCCTCGCTGGACTTGACGTACTCCGACGCCAAGGCGTGGCTGCTGGGGGGCCGGTTGGCCACCATGGCAAAGGCCCTCCCCACCGGCTGCGGGAGACAAAACGAAGGCTTCGTGTGAGCAGGTTCCCTTTTCTGCTTACCCTCTGGATTTTAGATTGAACTGATTTTAGAATGTATTTTAATTAATTGATTGTGATTTTATTTTATTTATTATTTATTATTATTAAATTTATTTATTCATTTTTTCAATACAAACAACAACCACAAAAACCACATACAACAAAAACCACAATAACACTAATAACACAATTTAACAATTCAGATTAGAGTACTGATATACCTGTAACTACCCCTTTTTAACAATATTTCCCCACCTCTCCTCCCCCTACTTCCCACCACTGTCCGCCTTATCGCTTAATTGATTGTGATCTTATGTAACTGTCGCTCTGAGCCCGGCTTCAGCTGGGGATGATGATGATGATGATGATGATTACAGTGGTACCTCGGGTTACACACGCTTCAGGTTACAGATGCTTCAGGTTGCAGACTCCACTAACCCAGAAATAGTGCTTCAGGTTAAGAACTTTGCTTCAGGATGAGAACAGAAATCACGCAGCTGCGGCAGCAGGAGGCCCAATTAGCTAAAGTGGTGCTTCAGGTTAAGAACAGTTTCAGCTTAAGTACAGACCTCCGGAACGAATTAAGTACTTAACCCGAGGTACCACATTATTATTATTATTATTATTATTATTATTATTATTATTATTATTATCATCATCTCTCTGGGTAGGGCCAAGTTAGCAGTGGGAAAGCTCGAAGGGAGGTGGCGAGGGACCCGAGGGCCACACTCCCTTCCTGGGAAGCCTCGTGGGGGCCACACTAAAGGAGGCCTAGATGCAAAAGCAAGCAGGGCAAAGGACTCTCAACTCTGCAAATCAATGAAATGCATGGGAATCTATACGGCGCAACCCATCTTTAAAAACAATTTCAGATGGCCTCCTGGCAGTTTTCCTTAAAATTATCTTTCAATGGCACTGGACACACACCTTGCAAGAATAAATCCTTCATTGGTGTGCTGGAAAGGCTGTGGAGAGCAAGGTTCCTATTTTCATAACTGGCAGGACTGCACTTTTGGGAAAAGGCGTTTCGTCCGTCCTCCAAAACCACTAAACAGTCCGTTTCTCCCAATTTGGCCCTTGCTTTTATTAGATCCGACTTCGAATCTTACTCTCGGATGCAAAGAAATAATTTCCTTCTTGCTCATACCAGCATTTGGTCTACTTCTCTCCCCCCCCCCCTTTTATTAATGAAAAACGGAGACATTTAAATGCCCTCATCATCCCCAGAATGCTTATGGACAGGGTATAGTGACTGAAAACATTTAATGAGCCAATGTGACGGTTAGATATTGACTGAAAACTGTGGCCGACATGGCAGCAATGTGTAAATAAAGCTTATTATTAGGAATATTTTATAATGCTGCAGCAACAGACAAAGTTTTATTGCAACTTTAAATTTCGTTTGAAGACTATTGTCATGACTTGCTTTAATATTAAGTTTAATAACAATAAAAAAAACACCTCTGCAAATCAGGCAGCTCTCCAGATTTCTATATATAGCCCCAAACACACCTCCCTCTCCTCATTACCAGGTGCGCAGCCTGGGAGTCATTCTGGACTCACCGCTGTCCGTGGAGGCGCAGCGCAATTCTGTGTCCAGGGCAGCTGTCTACCAGCTCCATCTGGTACGCAGGATGAGACCCTCCCTGCCCGCAGACTGTCTCGCCAGAGTGGTGCATGCTCTGGTTATCTCTTGCTTGGACTACTGCAATGCGCTCTACGTGGGGCTGCCTTTGAAGGTGACCCGGAAACTGCAACTAATCCAGAATGTGGCAGCTAGACTGGGGACTGGGAGCGGCCGCAGAGACCACATAACACCAGTCTTGAAAGACCTACACTGGCTCCCAGCACGTTTCCGAGCACAATTCAAAGTGTTGGTGCTGACCTTGAAAGCCCTAAACGGCCTCAAAGGCCCAGTATACCTGAAGGAGTGTCTCCACCCCCATCGTTATGCCCGGACACTGAGGTCCAGCGCCGAGGGCCTTCTGGCGGTTCCCTCACTGCGAGAAGTCGAGTTTCAGGGAACCAGGCAGAGGGCCTTCTCGGTGGTGGCGCCCGCCCTGTGGAACGCCCTCCCACCAGACGTCAAAGAGAAAAACAACTACCAGACTTTTAGAAGACATCTGAAGGCAGCCCTGTTTAGGGAAGCTTTTAATGTTTAATAGGGTATTCCAGCTGAACTATTTAAAATTTTAAAAGATGATGCTGTTAAGGTGCTACACTCAATATGCCAGCAAGTTTGGAAAACTCAGCAGTGGCCAGAGGATTTGAGAAGATCAGTCTACATCCCAATCCCAAAGAAGGGCAGTGCCAAAGAATGCTCCAACTACCGCACAATTGCACTCATTTCACACGCTAGCAAGGTTATGCTTAAAATTCTACAAGGAAGGCTCAAGCAGTATGTGGACCGAGAACTCCCAGAAGTGCTTTTAACGCTTAATAGGTTATTGTATTTTAGTGTTCTTTTGGAATCCACCCAGAGTGGCTGGGGAAACCCAAATCGCTCCCCATAACGAGGACCTGGACATTGTCTTTTATGCCACATTTAACAAACATGGCTTCTTCCCAAAAGAACCTGGGCAGTGCCGGATTTACGTATAAGCTAAACAAGCTATCGCTTAGGGCCCTACTCTCTTGCCCCCCCCCATATACTTCTTAATTGCATTTCACTATTGATATACTGTATTTTTCTGTGTATAAGACGCCCCTGTGTATAAGACGCTCCCTATTTTGGGGGACTCAAAATTAAGAAAATGGGGGGGGGGGAGAGAGATTGCCCCTGTGTATAAGACTACCCCGCTTTTAATATTATTTTTAGTAAAAAAAAAAATCTAGTCTTATACACAGAAAAGTACGGTACTTCTTCTTTATTGTATTTCAGTTCAACAATTACTTTGATAAAATACATGTTTTGTGATGTGCAGATGGCTTTAGATACCTATTAGGTCCTCAATTTCCATATAGCATATATTCAGCACAAAAAAACAGTGGCAATTTGTTGTTGACAAAGTACAGCTGGACATATAAACGGCCGCATTACCTTCAGGAGCTCAGGGCCTCATCAAACCTAAATCCGGCCCTCATCCTGGGAACTGTAGCATTTTAAGGGTGCTGAGAGTTGTGAGAAGACCCCCCCCATTCCCGTCATACAGCTACGGTTCCCAAAATTTCCTAGGAAGGAAGATTCAGTCAAGCTGCTGAGAATTGCAGCTCTGCAAGGGGAACTGGGGGGGGGGTCTCCTGACAAATCTCAGCACCCGCAACAAACTACAGCTCCCAGGATTCTTTGGGGGCAGTCGTGGCTGCTAAAATAGTATAGCAGACGGGGCCTTATTCACACAAGCCACTCACCTTTTGCTTTCCTTGGTCACGCCTGTCCCCAGGGAGGTCATTCTGGAGGGTCAGTCTTAGTATTTTCACACTGTCCTGGAAAACAAGACGGCAAAAGAGACACGCTCAAGATGTTGGCTTAGCAACATTTACCAGTATTTGCAAATTGCATCCCAAAGCGATCTCTAATAAATATAACAGCCGTAGAAAGGTTGTCATTCAAGGCGCTGTTGTCGATTTCATTCGTGGATCGCTTCCCCCGAGGCATCCCAAATTTGCGGCATGATCAAAACATAATCAACCCTTATATAGAACTGCATATGCTGTCTATAAAATATGCATATACAGGTGAAACTCGAAAAATTAGAATGTCGTGGAAAAGTTCGTTTATTTCAGTAATTCAACTTAAAAGGCGAAACTAATATATGAGATCGACTCATGACATGCAAAGCGAGATATGCTTCTACTTCTCAGAGGTCCAATCTTGCTCGATTTGCAACCCTTGTTTTGCTGATTTCCTTGAATATTCTAATTTTCTGAGATTGTTAATTTGGGGTTTTCATAAGCTGTACACCATGATCATTGCAATGGTAACAAATCAAGGCTTGACATCTCGCTTGGCATGTCATGAGTCTATCTCATATATGAGTTTCACCTTTGAAGCTGAATTAGTGAAAGAAATGAACTGCCTTTCTGCAGATCCAGATCTGTGGTCCTCTAGTTCAGTGCAGACTGCACTGGCTGCAGCTGCTTGCCCAGGGAATGTTCAGGCCAGGAATGTTCCCCAGCCATTTCCTGGAGACGCCAGCGATGGAAGCTGGGACCTTTGTGCATGCAAAGAGCCGCTCTGCCCCTGAGCTTCTTCTCCAAAAACAAAGCAAGGCTCCAGTCCTCATGGTTCTGAACATAGGGGTAGTTTAAATGGGGCTTTCTGCATGCAGAGCAGCTGTTCTCTACCATCTCTGGCTGTTTGCTAAGAATTGCTAGTCGCCCAAAGCTGTTATTTGTTCATATGAGTGCCTTTTTGGGAGAATCTTTCGGCTGTTAGACGGCGTTTCATTTCCCCTGTTTCAGATCCCTCTGTAAAATCAACCCATCCCGTGAAGCCTTGGCATTCTTGAGATCAGAGATCTGCTTCACACCATGACAGAACCAGGCCTTCCGTGTGGTGGCCCCTAGCCTTTGGAACTCCCTCCCACTGCACGTATCAGACAGGCGCCTTCTCTCTCGCCTTTTTTGGCACCTGTTTAAGAAGTTCCTCTTTCGACAGCCTCCTGAAATCTCTTCCCAGTTTCCTTCTCTCTTAGATGGGTCCAGGTTGATTTCAAGCAACTGCCGTTATGTTGAGATAGTGTTTCTATTTTAGTATATACAGGTGAACTCGAAAAATTAGAATATCG